TAAGTTATGTTGATATGAAGATACAGGAACGTCAGGAGGCCTGGGGCTGGAATGGCATCATGGATATTTTGGGAATAGATAGATGGGAATATGTTGAGAAGATTGAGTTGTTCTAAGACTAGACTGAGGTAAAAAAGCAGCATAATAATGTAACATTTTTGAGATATGAGCATAACAAGGTAACATTTTGGCTCATACATTATACATGGTGAATTGTATATAGTTTGTTGATTGTTCTTTAGTCACCAAAAGTTAGACCAGTTATTATAATTCTGTTCCTCTCTCATCTCCACAAAAGAAAACAAAACATCAGAATTCATGAAAAGGAAATGAAGTCAGAAAATGACTTAGCACATTTGTGTGTTTCTACAGACAGGAATTCAGGGTGGTTCTGGAGAAAAGCACATGCTGTCTTGGTCAGGGTCAGGTCTAGCATGTGGAGTGGACAAATATGAAATGCCCAGTGGTCGGGAACCAGAAACCCCCGGGTCTGAGCTACAGCACAGCTGGTGATGTGGGCAGGCAGGACTCTGGTCATAAAAGGCCACAGTATTGGGAAGTAGGGCACAAAAGCAGCCAAAGCCAGAATAAAGAGGCTGAGAGCCAAGGGTGACGGCTGCCTCTAGAAGTTGGAATAACTGAGGAAACTTCTCTGTGAGAACCTTCCAAAAGCAGGCAGACCGGCCACAGCCTTGACATTGTGAAATCCACTGTAGAGTTCAGACATCAGGAACCGCTGGATAGTAAACTGGTGTCTTTTTAATCTACTAAGGTTTTATAATTGATTTTATTAGCCATGGGAAATGGATGCAGGCTCTCCCTGATCTGTTCTCACTGAAAGTTTCACATCTACAACACACTGGGGACAGTGGGGACTGATTTCTCACTGCTGTGTTTGTTCACGAGGCCATTTCACTGCATGAGCAGAAGTGATTTGTATTGACAACATTGCTTTCTCTTATACTGAAAGATGATATTTAATTATCCACGTAATTAAAGTATCTAGCAGTCAGCTCAGCACTGCCTAGCATAAGCTCATACATTTTCTTTTCTAAATAAATCATGAAGATATCACAAAGTTGATATCATGTGTTTTCTTTTTTTCATCTTGAGATATTAATCACTGAAGACAAAATTCCCAACAGCACATGGGAGAGGCACGGTGCTTTCATACTTCTGTGCGATTGTGCAGATGTAGGGATGGGCAGGTCTTGTCTCACCCTTTTACTTTCCAGACCACACTAATAGATTGGCCTGGAGCATGCGTAGTGTGTGCCTCAGAACTGGTTCTGTTTTCCTCTACTGTATTGCTTTTCCTGGCCTCAAAACAGAGAAATTGTTTCTTTATCTCACATTATACTTTCTATCTCAGATCATAGAAAACTTAGAATGCACAACATTTACTAAATAACATTAATTTTAGCCTTAGGGATGAATAAAATACAGGAATACAATTTAGTACATTTGGTATTTTTAATGTTAATCAGAGCACTTGGTATATAACATGTGAGGAAACCTTGACCTAAGTGTGGCAAGGCAGCATATCCATACACCTTTACCATGGCTTATATACGTGAGTTCTGGCTTTGTCTGACTAGTATGTCTGAGGTTATGCTTTTAGACAATGAGGAAATCCTACTATAGTCCAGCACTGTAGTTTTGGTCAAATTACCAAACCTGTCTTCACATAGATTTCTACATCTTAAACAAACAAACAAACAAACAAACAAAAAACTAAGACAGTCATGGCTTCTGTCTTGTGAAGCCATTTTGGATATCATATATAGCACTGTTAATAAATCCCTTAGCATAAATATGTAACTTGTGGTTTGTCTTAAGTTAGCTAAAATTATAATCACACTCTACACTCAAGTTATCCATTGTTAACAAATGTAGATGTGTTCTGGTGTTCTCAAATACCAATACGAAGCGGTAAAATGATGCCTATCACTTTGTACACTAGAAATGTATTTGAAAGCAACAGGAATGAGTCATGAATAATTTAACATGAAAAATAGATTAAAAGGATACCAAACAACTCACGGAAACCCTGGGAATCCAGAGAACAAGCTACAGAAAGCATACAGGCAGAAATGATAGTCTACTGGCTAGCCCACAAGATACCACAACTGAGGATGGATAGAACACTGATATCTAAACACACGCTGTCCACAATAGGACAGTAGAGACAATCCTGTCATCAGTTCTGGAACAGGAAGAGGGACACTTGTGAACACCATTCCCAAGGCCTCAGGTCACAGGTTGACGGTTCCGAGTGTAGGTTGGGGAATCCAGGTTGCCATACCTGCGTTACCTCAGAGGGGAGACCACGCCCAATCTTAATTTCCAGGGGAGGAGAAACCCTGTGTCTTATGCTGGGACCTTCTTCATTGGAGAGGAAAAGCTAAGGCTGACCAGATCTAAAAATGCAAAAATCCCTCCATGATGTAATATGTAATAAAATAGACAATCCGTGGGACTTCAAGGAGTACAAAAGTTTAATGATACAGCATTTGAATTTAAATATGTGTCGGGCTTAACATCTATAAAACATCTCCATCAGAAACCCTCATCTTCCGAAGAGTGGGCCCGTTTCCTCCTTCCCCTCTGTCCTCTTGGGTGACAGCTGGTGTCTTGGGCTCTTGTAGCGGCATGGCCACGCTGCCTCCTGGGGGAAGTTGAGTCTGAAGAGCAGTGGGGCTGGGCTGTGTGGCCTGGCAGGCACTGGTATCAGTATGGACACAGCTGTCTGCTGAGATGGAATCCTGAGGCTTCTATGATTGGAGTCTGCTGTGACATTCTCCCTCTGTCTAGAGTCAAATCATCTCTAGATTGCACTCAACCTTGAGCAAGCTCCACCCATGTTTGCTTGCTAAGGACTACACTGCACTTCCCCCTCAGCCAATGGTGACTGAACACAGCCTTTGTTTCCATAACTTCTTCATGCAGTCCTTTGAACTTTGTCTCCTGGCTTTTGTATTTTCCAAGAACACCCTTTCAATGCTGCTCAGAAAAAATAATGTGGGCTGAACACAGCGGAATGAATATGAAACCCTTGACACAAAAGATCTCTCTTGAGTGTTTGCACAAGTAGGGTAGAGAATTCTACTGTGGGCGCCATAAAAAGCCAAGATTCTCATTATGGGATGGCATTGTCATTCACTATGACAATCAGAAACACCATATTTAAATATGTATGACTATGTGTGCATATAAATATTCATATTTGTACAGTTTATTAGTTATACCCTGTGTCACTAAGCCCAGAAGTATGGTAATAAAATTTACAATACCCGTGCCTCATTTCAATATTTGAAATACTTAAAGTCTTTATGAAATACCTGGTAACTAGTAATGTTAATATAAAATTCCCATGCTAGAGTAGTGAACTTTAAATATTTATATGAAATATAAAAGTTATTTTACTACATGTATTCTTATACATCTGTTTTCTGATCCATAAAAATGGCAAAAATGTGAGATGTTAAGAATGGTGAATTACATTAATCTCTAGAGAGTCAAGACATCAGGCATGGCTTAAAGGCTCTTATATAACATCTTGTCCATAAATAAAACTCGCTTATTCAGTCATGGGTCTATAGGCTACGGAAGAGGCTGCTGGAAACTGCTCTTTACCCAGGTGTTTATCAGTTTCTCATGGTTTCAAGTGGATTTCTGAAACAAATACACGAAACAAGAGGTGAATGAAAATTCCTATATAGAATGAAGAACCAGAGTAAGGACACTGTCCTTATAGAGAACCCTCCCACAGTGGACACATCCAGAATAAAACAGGAAATGTCTTGGCTGCACACCAACTTGAAAAAACATCTGAACAGTGAAAGAGAAGAAACACTTTGTATTTACATTTTAGTTCTTGACATTTTCTTTAAAAAACCCTCACAAACCAAATCTCTAAATTATGAAAGAAATGGTGCCATAAATATTTTGATAAATTATTTGAAAATAATCACAGGTTATTGTAACTTTTATGTAGAGTATAACCAGTAAATACATCTGATATACCTCATAAAATTAAAGTTGCATAAACATGAAGGAACAAGATATAAGAATACATTATAGTAAATCCAAATATTGTATCAAACACAAACTCTAGAAGTGAAAATTAAGCTAAAATAAAAATAATTAGGCAGTGAATTGATGATAGACCTGAATGGCATAGATAGTGTGAAGAAATTAGGCAGAACCACACTGATTGGGTGGCCAAGCTCACTACAGAAGCTTAAGGAGAGGCAAGGTGCCCTTCAGGGAGGACCAGCACACTCCCAGTGGAACTCCCAAAAATAATGGAGAACAGGGGACAGAAATGAAAACTCAGAAGGTGTCAATCACAAGTGAACAGATTTGTTGGACAGTACCAATGTATACACTGAGGGAAGCCACTGAGTTTCAACCAGAATGTTCTAAATATTCATGCAAGACTGTCTGAGTGAAATTATGGGACATCATATACAATAGAAATTGTAAAAGCTGCCAAGAAGAAAGCCATATTGCCTAAAAGGGATACACAATTAACTAATTGCTATGATCTCAACACCCACTACAGAAGGTATAGATGAAGGCTGGTAGGCCCAGTGACCCAAAAGAATGCAATCAATCTAAACAGTTTTAGTAGAGAAATTTATCTTTGGGAAAAGGATAAATCACAGGAAAGCACAATTGAAATTATTTTCTGCATTCTGGATTTCAACCACAGAATAAGAATATGGTCACAGAATCAATGTATGAAAATGTGGAAAATGAAATAAAATATTAATGTGAATGTATATTTTATACAATATACTTTAATATTATTATAAAAACACACTATTTGTGTATAATTATATATAATAGATAACCACATAATAGATAATATCTAAGTATAATATAATTATTATATATAATATAACATATAACAAATATGTGATATAAATTATATAATATGTAATATATATTTTATATTTTATGGTACAGTTATACATAAATAATATTTATGATAATATATATTTATGCATATTAAAATAAATGTATTAGATAATAAAAATTTAATTATATAAAATACAAATGGTGAATAAACCTAAATAATAACATTTAACTATGGGTGGTTACTGTAGGAAAGCATGCAGTTTAGGCATAAAGAAAACACAAATATCAACTTCAGGATTTGACATGTATAAAATGAACAATGAAACTTTAGATGCACCATTTAAGGAGTGGTACATAGTGAAACCCTTCTGGATAAGTATGAGGAGGCATTGTAATTATTTCAAGAAATAATATGAAAGTGGGTAAGAACAAAAGATAAATGGGTCATGGCCTCCAAGGTCTCCATAGCTGCAGTTGTTAGAAAAAAGACATGCTATTGACCACAAAAATGAGGTGAGAAAGAAGACTGATTTTATGACAGTCCATGGGACTCTGGTTAGAGAAAAAAAATGTAAGTTAGGAGAACACCTAGCTGAAAGAAACTGGAAATGAAAATTGGGTGTTTGTGTGGAACGGAGCCAATGGTCTCGGCATTGGCAGCTGCAGCAAGAAATCAAGGGTGAAGCCAGGATTCGTACTGAGGCACAGAAACACAGTCAACCTGCACATCTGTGTAAACATCCAGCCTCTCAAGCTGTTTCTCCCTGTCTCTGTCCCATGTCACGAATAGACAGACAACAGACACACACACACACACACACACACACACACGCATACACACACACACACACACACACACACACACACACACACACACACACACACACACACCCCTGCATACGCCTAACTCCAACTAGCTTCAGGACTAGTTGGAGATCAATAAAGCTCCAGGGTCACTGAGTACTATTAGCTTCTTTTCTGATGGAAAAATCAGATTGAATTTAGAAACAAAAAGTAGTAGTAGATGATGACCCAGACTGGACTGGAAACAGGAGGAGAACATTGTCTCTGTGTCTCTGAGAGTGAGGAAGTATTTGTCCACACACCAGGATGGGTGCACACCTGGAGAACTCTGAATGGAGTCAGTGGGTTGTACTAGTAACCACATCCTGGCTGTGACAGTGTAGTGTGCACAATAATGTAGCCATTGTGGCAAGGATACTCTCATAAAGGCCTGTAGAGCATTTCCATAATTTTCTAACATTTATCTCAAAATGCCCTATAATGTCAGGGGATTAGACACTGTAGAAAGGGAATTAAGGTCAAAAGAAAAATAGTAGACTATTAGAATAAAACACAAAGAATACATTCTAAAATTAAGGCATCATTTTATAAATTCATCCATGAACATTATAATGCAGTTCTAGGTGTGGTAGACAGGGAGGGAATGGTTGTGTTCTAAACATCAATAGTGAGGAATTTTCATAATGTAAAAGACACCAGCCTTTGTACCCCACATACAAAAACACAGTGAATATTGTGTACAGGGAAAATAATAGTAAAATAGATTCAAATGCAAAGAAGAATGCAAAAGAAATATGCTGTCTTGTAAATAGCGATAACTTACAATTAACTTTAGGACAGAAGCCCAAGTCAGTGGAACATCTTTAAAACTGCCACAGGTTTTTTTCTGGATGCTGAAAAGGCATTCTTAACAGTTGGGGGTATAAACATGCCCACAAAAAGAAAGATCATGGTGTCTAATGTCGACTGTTAACTATCAACACTATTTAAAAGTGTTAGGCTAGCCAGGGTGATACACATCAGCAATTCCAGCATTTGGGAGATGGAGGCAGAAGGATCAGGAGTTTGAGGCTAGCCCTGGTTCTATTATGAATTCAAGGCTAGCCTGAGCTACTTGACACCCTGTTCTAAATGCAAGGGTGAAAGAAGATAAAAGGGGAACCGTGAAGAAAACATTAACACTGACAGTTTCTGGACAGTGACTGGCAGGTGGCCCTTCATGTCTCTGCGTCTCAGGTTCAGCCAAGCATGGATTGAAAATGTGTTTTTAAATGACGCTGTTCTGAACGTTTGCATCACATTTTCCTGGTCATTATTCCCTAAACGTACAGAATCAAATCTGTTTGCACAGCCTCTAGGTTGCATTAGCTATTCTAAGTTACAGGAGATGATTGAACATCTCCAGGAGGCTGCAGAAGATTACAGGCACATGCATGTGCTGCACCACTTTATGTAGGGTCCTTAAGCATCCTGGAACCAGAGCCCAGTTCACTAAGAGGACCACACTGTCATTAGACATTAAATTATGCATAGTTCACGACTGCAAAAGAACTGTGAAATAGCCTTTTACGTAATGATACCCTGGTTAATGAGAAAAATTATAGACACATTGTTTGGGAAGGTGGGTAGTTTATCTCAAGGGATGGGGTATAGACAAGAGGTTCTAGTGAATATGATTTCCGTTAAATGTCCATGTCAGAGACGACCCTGAGCAGGAAATAGAGCAATGGGTGAGCTGTAGGAAGAATCATCCATAAAAACTGAGTGCAGTAATAACAACAAAAAAAGGGCAGAGCATTTGAGGTTTGAGAGTAAAATCAGATATCTGACACATTTGTCATTAGAAAATAGAGCAGAAAAGAATACAGGAAAAATAACTCCCCAAAAGTCAAGAAAACCACAACCCATAGCTCTAAACATAGTGACCACTTAGCAATATAAACAAGTGAGCAAAAAACAAAACATGAAAACTAAACATACACGCAGGCAGAGAGAAAGAGAGAGAGAGAGAGAGAGAGAGAGAGAGAGAGAGAGAGAGAGAGAGAGAGAATGAGAATAATAAAAAACACAAAGAAAAATCTGTAAGACCATGAGATGGCAAAATGACAGTGAGAAATACAAATTGTAAAACTGTAAAAAAGTCAAGGACGTTTAGAAATATATACTTCTACAAATGAAAATTAAAAACAAGATAATTTCAGATGGACAAACATTGAGAAATCCTTTCTGAAGATGGATAGTATTGCACATGATGATGTTCACAGAGCAAGGAGGAGTCAGAAGGAAAACAGATTTTCAGAAAAATGATGCCAGTCATGGTAAGCTGGGAAACACACACACATGTGTGTGTCCACACACATGCATGCTTGCACACACACTTGTGTGCACATAACCTTTGTTTCTACTTGAGTACATTGTATTTAAACAAATATTATGTGTTAGTGAAATAAGCTAAATGTATGCTTATTTACTTAATTATTAATATTCATTTTTGAAGCTCTATGTGTATTCTGTTCAAAGTACATACCTTAAGCCTGTTGTTTTATTTATTTGTGAACTGTATCTGGAACTTTCTTATCTGTGGCCCCATTAAGATGCAGGTTTTATATATATATACGTGTGTGTGTGTGTGTGTGTGTGTGTGTGTGTACATGTATATATGGGCATGTACATACATATATATATATATATATATATATATATATATATATATATAGCGCTACATGTGTATATATGGCCATTGATTACTTAAAACAGCAATACATCATGCTTTTAAGACAGCAATACATCATGCTTTTGTGATGTATGTGTAATTTTAATACACATCAATAAAATCACACTATCTGCTAAAAGAGCATGAAATGTAGGTGACAACTGGAAAATAACAATAAACAAAAGATGCACATTACAATCTCTCAGACAATTACTAAAATATAACTAATAAGTAATCTAGGAGGGAAGATAGGAAATGACGTCAAACGATCCTTCATGTGCAGAGTAGATACTGTGAGTAACAGTTACACTAAACCCGAAATGACTTAGCAGTCTGAGCAAAGTGCAGGATTTTTTTTAGCCTGGATAGGAAAGGAAAAACTAAACCAAAGAGCCTTACAAGCATGCAATACATATCATCTGTAATAATAATTATTCAAACATACTATTGCTAGGTTTAAAGTAAACATTTTAACACTTTTGCAGCATATAGATGTACAGTCCAAGAAGATTGCAGTGGATAAACTAAATATACAATGTAAGTCAATTAAAAATTAACAAAATTAAAGAAGGCTGGTTGTTAATCATAAGGAATGAATCCAGCCATTGATATGCCAAGGAAGACGTATCAGTCATGTCTACCTAATCATTGAGCTTTTTAAAGAAAAAAAAAAAAACCAGGAAAGTTAGAGATATGTCAAATATATAATCAGCTTTTACTTTTTTTGTGATTTTTCCAACCATGCATAGAAACAGACAGTAGCATTCAATGCCGAGCTACACAATATTGAATTAGTGGACAATTTCTCAATCAATAGAGAAAACGTTTTCCCTTACACAACTTAGGAATGCGTTCTTCTTGAGTTACGTTGTCACCAAGGTGGGCCATCTGATACCAATAAGACAGATCTCAACAAATTGAAAAGGCTGAAACAACAGCCAGAGACCCCTGGTGTCTATCTGGCATGTGAAGAGCTAGAAAGTGACCTCTTCATAGTCAAAAGAAAAACAGAAACTGTCATGAAAACAGAACTCAAGAGTCAGGTACATGGTGTGCACTTGTAATCCCAGCCGTGGAAGGCTGAGGGCCCGGGAGCGCTTGAGCCCAGGAACTGAAGGACACTTTTAGCAACATAGTGAGACTCTGTGACTGTGGGTATGGGTGACTGGGGAAACTGACTCACAAGGGAAGTGGCCAGGGCCGTGAGTCACTTGGATGTTACTGGGGACACATGAGAGAAGGCTGCATACACATTTGACATACCCATCAAATGATGGAATTAAGATCTCTATCCGGACGGGCATGCATATAGTACATCAACAACTTATTTTAAAACTAAGAGAATAATTAGGCCTCTAGCCCTGTTTGTTAGTATTTTTTCTTCCTATAAATAAGTAGAATTTAGCTAAGGAGAAATCAGCCAGAAGTCACTGTGGTGTGTCACCAGTATTACTGTGGCTGGCTGTGTGAGTGGGGATGATGCACATCAGAGGAACCTGACTGTCTCCAAGAGCATTCAGCGAGGAGCTCAATGCCGTAAGAATTCAAATTATGGGCTTTTACTGTGAGACCCCTCTTCTGTTTATTTCACCTTTGGGGTTGCGTTGATTTGAGTCCTTGAGGTCATCAGACCTCCTCTTACTCTGTTAACTACTGAAAGGCCCCTGTTGGCAGTGTCTGGCCAGTCCTCATGGCAATGTGGTTGCTTGAACACTCTACTTAGCAGATACCCAGAGGAAGCGGGAAGCATGTCAAGCATGGCTGCAGCTGAAGCCGCAGTCTGAGTCAGGAGCCCTTGTTGCAGTCACAGTGACTTCAGCTGGCCTCCAACAAAGCTCAGTCCTTCTCTTCAGCGATGTAAGGCATGGTACCACCAGATGACTCTGCTGCCGCAGCCAGAGGGACCCAATTACAGCAACAAGTCAGGATGAGCACTTCCCCAGTGACTCAGCAAAGCACTTAGGATGGACAGAAAGTGACTGTGCTTGTGTGAGGCTTGTGATAGGTCTGGAAGAGACTGCCTGTGACTGCTGGAACTGGAGACCACACAGAGTGATGGGATTGCATTTCTGGACCCGGAAAGAAAGCTTTTGAGCCTCCAGAATGTATGTCCATCAGTGAGCTGTCCCTTGAAGACCTGTGACTTCCATTTGAATAGAGCAGAAGAGCCCCCAGCCAGCCATTGTGACAGAGCAGATGGAAAGGCGAAAGATGAGTAGGAAGAAGGGGAAGAGATAAAAAGAAGTAAAAATAGACGCAAGTATTTTCAAAGGTAGACTTTAAAAGGAACACTTGCCATATGGCCCAACCTTTGTCAAGTTACTTCTGACTCTGTTCTCCCACGGGGCAAAGGAAATGCCTCTGCTGATGAACCCGCTGGCACTGCTCTTCTCAGGTAATGAAGCAAGGCAGGTCCGTATATTCCTAGGTGAGGCAGAATTACAGCTTAGGGACGCTGATCTGGGAATTCAAGGCATGGGATAATGGCTCCAATGCCTAGAGCTACACTCTTTTCTGTCCCCTTTACAGAACACAGCCTTCCTAGGTCGACCCCCAGGTCAAGTTTAGGAAAGGCACAGGGCAATCCCTCACAGCGCTGTGCTGGCTTTCCTGTTGCCAGCGGTGTCCCTGCATAAATGTTCACCGTAGCTCTGCAGGGAGTGCTGCCCGACCATGCAAATGAGTTCCCAGAATGACATTTGCCACTGTGTGTGTGAGGCGGGGAGGGGGCTGTGCAGGGTGAGCGATTGCCACCAATCCTGCTGATGGATTGACTCCCATCACCAAGCAGCCAGCCACCATTGATTTCTGCTCTTCCATCATGTCACAGTGACCTTCTCCCTGCATGGGAGGAAAGGGGAGAGGAAAAAAAATGGACAGATAAGGGGTCCAGAGCAAAGAGAAAGCTAAAGTGTTTCTCCTGCTACTTATCATCACTCCTTTCAAATGCCTTCACCACGGTGTCACTCTGTGTGACACCTCTTACCCCGACACACGTGGTACCCAAACCATAGCCAGATTCATGTGCAGTTTCTGTGTCCCCTGTCTACGTGTTATGCACCACTGTGGCTCCACGGCTAGTTCTGTTTTATTCAAAATGTATAAGGAATAGAGATTAAGCAGACGAGGATAAATGGTATAGAATGTTCCTAGTATCCTTTACTAAGAAAATACTGATATGGGCTGGAGAGACGTCTCAGTCAAAAGCACTGTCTGCTCTTCTAGAGGACCCAGGTTCAGTCCCCGACACCCACTTGATGGCTCACAACCACCTGTAACTCCAGTTCCAAGGGATCCAACCCCCACTCTTCCTGGCTCCACAGGCAACTGCGCATACGTGGTTCACAGACAAGCGTGCAAGCAAAACATCCATAAACATGAAAACTAAATTTAAACTAAAAACCTGTTTTGTTTTAAATGTTTGCTTTCTGATACTTAATGCCAGTCAGGGAAGGCCATAGACTTAAATTGTCGTGTCTTTTCCTAGTCTGTTCCCACAGTATATTGCCCCCTGTATTCATACAAGTTAATTTGGCCATTTGCTTTTGTTGCATTTTAAAATATTGAACAAACCTTTGATTCTGTTGGTAAATACCCTGGATGATACCATCCATCTTATATGTCACTCAGTTTCTGGCACTTTGATCAGCATTTTTGCCTTTATATGGGGAGCCATCATAGCCTGAAGTCTGCTTGTGATGCTTGGGTCAGGCCTTGGACCTACTCCCACATGACACAGTGAGGACCAACCCCTGGAGAGCCACCCTGCAGAGTGATGACTACCCGACGGGATGCCCACTGTGGAGGCAGCACACATCACTAGTCAACGTCTACTCAATGACAGACAGCTGCAGCAGCCAATGGTGATGGCCCTCACGTTTCCCACCAAAAAGTCAGTATTTCCAGATCTAATCCATCATCATTTTAACCTGCTTAAATAGATGTAACCAGAGCCTCTGATTCCCACTCGTGCAAGAGCTTTGCAGAATTCAGTTCCTTCAGCTGTGGGATTACCTCAGCTCTTGTTGCTGGGTCATGCCAACTACTAGATGTCCTGGAATCTCTTGTCATGTCAGCCTTACCCAGATGTCTTCAAGATTCCAAGGACGAGCTCTCAGCATGAGCCTGTTGGTTATCAAGAGACCCATGTAATGCACTTTTAAAAAGATATCTCTTTTTTTATATTTAATATGCATGGATATTTTGCCTGCATCTACATAGGTGTGACCATGGTGCATACCAGGTATCCACAAAGGCCAGAAAAGGGCTTTATGTCCCATGAAACTGGAGTTGTAGACAGTTGTGAGCAGCTGGGTAGGTGTTGGGATCCAAACCCAGGTCGTCTGTAAAAGCAGCAAATGCTCTTAACCATCAAACCATCTCTCCAGCCCCTAAATGTAACACAGTTTTAACAACCCTAAATGTAACACAGTTTTAACAGAATATGTGAAGTCCAGTCTCACTTGATACATCCTTCGGGTTAAAAGCATAGCAGAGGTATAGCCCACAGTCAAGTGGTGGGGCTCAAACAAAGATCTGGTGGCCACTAGGGGAATCCCAGACTCTGTCCACAATACATCATAATACCCAATAAATGTAAGCATAAACCATTTCATATGCACACATAGTTCATGACTTGTTGGTTTATGCTTATGTTTTTAATTGACCACATAGATTCTTTTTTTTTAGTCTTCTCTTTGACACCCCCATCCCCCTCCTTTGACACAGAGAATCCTACTTGTTGGGGTCAGTGGAGATGACAAGGCTAAAATTCTCTATAGGAACTGTCTCAATATAACTACACCAATAACATTGCTTGTGGTGATGTATTGTGTACCCTTATAAAGTTTGCCTGAAGATCAGAGAACAGAACAAGCCTCTAGATTAAACATAGAGGCCAGGCAGTGCTGGCACACACCTTTAATCTCAGTACTCAGGAGGCAGAGATCCATCTGTATCTCTGTGAGTTCAAAGACACACTGGACTACATGAAATTGACTCATTCTAGGAGAGAAACAGAGCCAGGCAATGGTGGCACACACCTTTAATCCCAGCACTTGAGATTTCATGCCTTTGCTTGGGAAGCACACATGCCTTTAATCCCAGGAAGTGATGGCTGGGCAGAGAAAGGTATGTAAGGTATGAGGAGACAGGAACTAGAGGCTTTTCAGGCTGCAGAGTCCTAGAGGTAATACATGACAGTGACATGTTTCTTTGTGTCTCTGATCTTTCAGCATTTATCCTGATATTTAGCTCTAGGTTTTTATTGAAAGACCTATTAGAAATTCATGTTATGATCACTGGTTATGATAATTGAATACTTTGTCTCCTATGTATTTTCTCCTGTTTTGATACTAATGATCAATATACATTTTAGATTACATACACACAATCCACTCCAATCACCTCTTTTTCCTCTATTTTATCTTAAATCTGCAATTCCACGTTCAATGTCAAGTGCAACCTATGGCTGATTCCCTAGTCCCTTTGGTTTTCTGGAATGAGTTCTTTACTTGGTCTCTTGGAAAGAGTCCATAAGAGTCACAGTGCAGTGCCCAGAGCAGTAGGGAATATGACCATACCTTAACTTTGTCCTATACATTCCATTTTCCAAGACTCATGGATTCTTTACTGGAATACGGTGTTCCCAAGGATGTTAGAATTTTATTTCTCTGTTTCACATAGCAGTTTTGCCTAGAAACATGAAACATCTTCATTAGCTGCTGCTTCTGCTTCTTCTTCTTCTTCTTCTTCTTCTTCTTCTTCTTCTTCTTCTTCTTCTTCTTCTTCTTCTTCTCCTCCTCCTCCTCCTCCTCCTCCTCCTCCTCCTCCTCCTCCTCCTCCTCCTCCTCCTCCTTTTTCTTCGTCTGGCAATGTCACTTGAGTACATCTGTGTGTTGGCCACTCTCTATTGATATTACCAAGTACAGTATGTTTTCATATCTCCATTTCAGTCATTTGAAAACCACATTGAAGGGAGGTTTGTTTGACTCCACTCCTCATCTCTCCCCTGATTTGCTTCCGTCCTCCGGGACCCCCACAGTTCATACGCTGTGTCGCCCTGGCAGAAGCTCCATGTGCATTCTTTATTCTTGAATCTGATTTGATTCCTTGATTGCATTCGAGTGTTTCAACCTTTTTCTCCTTTTCAGTTTCTGTCGCTATCAATGACTTTTATGTTAATTTGCTCTGTGTTCCTTCTCATTTATTGTTCCCTGTGAAAATCATGTTGATCTTTTATTCCTTCCGATAGAAGTCCTATATGTAGGTCTTCACTGTGAATCATATGGTACTTTCATGTCAGATCATTCTCTTTGTATCTTCCTTAGATAGCGTGAAATCATTGTTTTTAGAGTTTCTACCATTATTCTTTTCATGTAATTTTGCATTTCTTAAAGAGTATATTTTTGCTCCTAAATAATTTTTCTTTTAATTAAAATTTTACCTTTTTTCTGTTGTTTCTCATTTGTGTATGAAATCTATCTTTTTACCTGTCGGGAACAGTCTGGGAGAGATTTCTTCCCTAGTTCCAGAGCATTCTCTTTTCTGCTGCTTCTGGGAAGCCATGAAATCTCGGTGACTTGCCTCATGGTTCTATAGTTTTCTTTGACTTTAACAGTCTTCCCGGCTGTTTGTCTTACCTCAGTTCTGGCCAATTTTAAGTCTGCTCCCAGCAGCTTCCCCGTGGTGTGCACCCTTGAGGTGGTCCCAGTGTGGTGGCTTGGAGAGCTGAGCTGGTGACAAGCAGCCCCTCTTCCTGTGAGGCACCTTTGTCCAGCCGGTGAGACACTCCTCATTTCTACTTTACTGTGAAATGGAATCTACTCTATAATTATGTAGTCGGCCTTTGGAAAGGTGTAAAAGTATCAGCTACTGCCTCCACCACCTTCCTTACAAATTATTGTATGCTTGACTCTTTTACAACTGCCTGGTATTAGTTTTCCTTTTTTGTTTCCCTTTTATCAATTTTCTTTATATTTCTTTGACTTTCCAAGTGTCTATTCACTCTTTACATAAACTTGATCATATTTCTTTTTAATTTCCCCTCTTTTTCCTGATGCCTCTGGGCCGAGAACCCACTCCTCCTCTCTCAAGCACACCAGCCACTACCATGATTAAGGCTCCCTCTTCCTATCTGCCCCTTTAGATTGCCAGGCACTTATGGCCGTCCAATTACTTACTTCCATTATTCTTATTAATACTTCTGTCATCACGTACTTAACCTACGGTATATGTTCTTCATTCTAAAGTCTGTACATATATTACATGCTCATCACATTCACACACACACACACACACACACACACACACACACACACACAGGGAGTCATGGGTTGCAAAGCAATGTTTTGGCCAACTAGACTGCATAAGATCACAGAGGATGAGAGGTTGTGTGGTGAGGCCATAGCTGTGGTAATGCTGCATCTCAGAACTTTACTCAGTGTTTGAGGGATGTTGCAATAAGCAAGGTTGCTTCCCGGCCAGCATTGTAAACATACCTCAAACAGTCGTGCATAGCATGCGATGCCGGATAATGTCAAATGAGTGTCACTGATTTATGCATCCACTGCACGAAACCTGTAGTCATTATTGGAGTTTGAAGCCCCATTTATAAACACATTTACTGTTAAGCAGCATGCTGTGCTAGTGGGTAGCAGCCTCCTATATCTTCTCTTGACCATCTATTGACTGCATCAGGAGCCATGCCAAGGGACAGACTGCCACAGCCAGGTTTCTGTGAGACACTCACTGAAGTTTCCACAGTGGCCAGGTCTCTCACTGACTTGTCTCTGAAAGTGATTCTGTGAAGTGATGCCTGATTGAACATATATACACATAAT